AACAGTTGTGCATCACTTGCGCAACAGGCGCCCGTCGACCCTGAAACTGTTGCGCAAATGCTGTGGAACTGTAGGGGAAAAGTGCTACAGATGCTGCGCAAATGCTGTATCGTACCTAGCGGCGGCCGCGCGAATCCTCGCATTCTACTATTTATATCTCGCTGATATAAACGCATTTGATACAATTTAATATCACAATGTTTATTGATATAACAATTATTTATATTAGAAAAATAAAACAAAAAACATAGAAATTAATATATTCTTGAGGAATCCTGTCGAGCACTATTCAAAAATTTCGTTGATGGGCGTGTGTCGTAGTTCTCATACCTCTATTGTCGAATAAAAAAAAAGTGGGACCTGGAAAATTTCGCGGGCGGCTTCCCGGTCAATTTTCGAGGCCTTGCCCCAGAAACACTACGGTAGTAAACGAAACTTATTTCTGTGAATTTAGTGGGATTTTCTGAACAAAATTCAGATTTCTTGGTAGGAAAATGATCGCTAGCATCTTTAGAATCTGTTTTTGTTGCGTTTTTCATTGGAAAACCGAACTTAATTGCGAAAGTAGCTCGAACGAGGTGAAAATCTGAAATATTACGTTTTTGCTGCACTTTTCGTAGATCAAAAAAAGCTACGCCTTTCAAATTTTCAGGTCCCACTTTTTTTAATTCGACAATACACCTCTACAGCCGCGCAAGGGTGTACGGTATACAGATGCTGTTTCCGTGCTGTATCATTGTCGCACTCCAACAACTTGCCTAACTTGCTGCATAACTGTAGTGAAAGCGTGGCGCAACTGTTGTTAGAGGTACAAATGCTGCACAACTGCTGCGGTTTTTTGCTGAGTTGAGAGGAATTCGATGAAGAATGGCAGATTTGGACATTGTGAGACATAGAAGTATTTTCAAGATGCCTGGGGTAAAGAAATATTTTTACAATCATTTCCCCTGTTTTCTTCCCTATTTTATCCTTCCCCCATTTTATCTTTTTTTTCTCATTTTGTCTTTCCTTCATTTTTAATATTTCACCATTTATGATTCTTCTTCTAAAACTGTAATTTTCCAGTTTTAATAAATCAACACTATTTTAAAATCACTCATTTTTCTTCCTGGTATTTTTCAGACTCCATAATCTCGTTAATTTACTCACAAAATGGAATCATCGAACGACAAAAAGAGCGTGTTTTTCATTCGAATTTCAGCTGATTTTTAAAAGAAGTTATTTGGGAAGTTATTAGCGATCAAGTCAAGTTCAGACAACCACTCATCCATCACATTAGACTCGTGTTCCCGTTCTTACGTACTTTTTGAATGTCAGTGATCTTGTTTTCAAATTTTCGATAAGTCTAACAATCTATCAGATGATCTGAAAAAAAGAAGAAAATATTTCAGACAATGGAAGGAAGATTTGCTCGAAAAAAACTGGATTTGAAAAACTGGATTTTTTTCGAAAAAACTGGAAAACTGGATTTGCTCGAAAATTAAAAGAGTTAATAGGTTTTTAATGAAAAATTAATGAATTTTTTTGGGGCACATGTTACAGGGCCGAAGGTCCTGTCCGGTCTATTCGACCTGAGCGAGCGGAGCGAGCGAAGGGAGAACAGACTAAAATATGAATCAACTGATTCCACTGAGCCAGGGCCCTGCATCTGATTCCACCTAATTGCGCTGCATAGCCGCGCCTAGCGGAGTCGGCCGTAGGCCGAGGACGCTAGTCTTAACGGACCAGGTACTTAACGGACCAGGTACTTAACGGACCGGTTCCTGTGAAAGATATCAAAAAGTTGTAAACTGATAAAATAAGTTTGATATTATGATAAGCATTTTGACTATTAAACGATTTCTGATATCTTCTACTAGGGTTTCCATTTGGGGGGGGAGGGGCGATTCACCCGCCCGCACCCACCCGGGG